GGTTAATAATTAATTAGAAATTAATTGGAAAACATTTTGGGAATTACTTAACAGTTTAATTAATTAAAGGGTTGAATATTCAATTAATCAATAATTGGTTTATCAGGAATGTTCTGAAACCCTTATGGAATTAGGAGTGGATTAAAATCACTCCATCCTACATGGGAAAGGGAGTGAATTTCGTTCTAGGTATTCCATCCCACATGGGAAGGAGTACAAAACCTAGGAAGGCATCCAAGGCTATAAATAGAGCCTTAGGGATTTCATTCTTCTTTGCACTTGGCTTGAAGTTTCGCCAACCCTTCTTCCTCCCCCAATAGGGACGATTTCTAATCCTCTTAGGGTTAGTGAAATTGACCATTCTCTTAATTATTTTTATTCCACTATTTGGTGTCATTGGGTGTGATACCATTAGATGGATTCTGGTTTGGTTCGTCTCATCCAAGCAACTTCGTAGAGGACGAGATCTCAAGCATGGAGGTCAAGGGCTGCAAAAGAGGTATGTGATTCTTCTTTGTATTTCCGTTTTCATAGGGTAGATGTAATTAGTATGAAACCACAGATCCATAGGGTGCATGTATACTTAGGTATACCGTAGTTTCGATTTTTCTGCTACCTAGTTTAGAGTGTATCTGATGTGTAGAAAACCCAACAGTGGTATGGTATCAGAGTCATTGGTTCATGATTACATTCACCCTACTTCCATATTTTATGTAAACGATTGTTTGAAATGGAATGGAAGAAGAAAGATGGAAAAATTCGTATATGAAAAAAAAAACTTTGTCGCAGCTCACGACATGAGGGGTTTATGCTCACGATATGAGCAGTCTGGATTAGGGTTTCCCTATTTTTTTATTTTTCAAATTTGAAGATTTATTAAATATGAATAATTACCAAATTTAAATTGTTTTAAATCTGGAAAATTGATAAATATTATTTAAATATGATTATTTGAATCTAAATATTTTTTATTATTTAAATAGTGAATTTAAATATTTAATATTATTTATAATAGAGATTTACAAATTTGAATATTAACCCCCTATGATCTATTAATTGTTACAGTGTGCCCTCGCAACTAATTACAATTAATAATAGACAACTAAACTTAAAAAGTTTTTAAATTTACCCCTTATAGTTATATATATTAGAATTGTATCTACTATATGTATAAGAAAGCTACAATATGTGTCCTCTCATGTTTACATATTGACATTATCAGTGTTTCCATGACTAGGCTCGCCCATTTTGATGTAGGGGTTTAAGGAGGCCTCTTTGATTCTTAATGAGGTCGGTTTTTAATATGCTCCGCGTTTACCACCCTCACCGCCCTATTGCATTTTGCGAATGGAGTTACCGAAAGGGTTTGATAGTGATAATGGTAAATTTAAAATATTATAAATACAAGTATAAAACAAAATCATGTTTTATTAATAGAATGTAAGTCTCATATTATCCATGAAAAATTGCACATTCTCTTTATATTCTAGTGGTGGAGCTCTTGTGGTTAACCGACACATCAATCTAGAGTATAGTTGAGACTGATATGGAACTCGCTAATCTCAAGCATAAGTTGAGCTAGGGACCATGAGATTTCGCATGGTTAATTCACAATCTATTTAATGTGAATCTTATGTTATCCATAAAAGTTGCACGTTCTCTTTATAACTTGTTGATGGAGCTTGTGTGTGACATCCCCATTTTTTTTCACGGCCAGAAAAGACTGATTTGTGTATGCTTTATTTGAAAATCAAAGTATATATTTAGAGAAATATATTGCGGAATTTGTCCCCAGAAAAACATGATAAATTTATTATCAAAGCGTTTCCGAAGAAATGTATTTTGTTCATATTAAAACTTTGGGATGTTATCGTCAATACAGAAACATAAACATAAACAGAACTTACATTCATTTATATTAGGGATCTACATCTCTTTAAATATCTCGGTGTGGTGTGGCTTTATATCGACACCTGTGATACAAATAAACTGAGTGGGTCAGGTTGGAAAACCTGGTGAGTACATAGTGTTTTCAACCCACAATAATAAAGTTAATATGTTTTATCATCAAACAATTAACCCAATTACTCATCCCCGTTATCTTCTTTATTTCTTAAGGATTTACCCTAAGAATCATTTATCACTCATTCCTAAAGATTCCTCCTAAGGAATAGGCACGAAGTCTCATCGTCGCCAAGGTTTATACAACATGCACTAAGTCCATAGCTACCAGGGTTTGTACAACATGTGCTAAGTCCATATATCTCATTTATTGACAATATTATTTTCGAGAGTCCACTCGCAATACATGTCAATGGGTTTTTAGAGTACATCTGATGAGCATATTGTTCATACACCTACAGGTTGCGCGCCTACTAGTGTTCCACAGACCGTCTAGAATAGTCCATGGTTGTCATCCATACTCTGCTAGATGACGGGGGCCAATATTTGGGTAAGGGCTTCTCTCATATTTCACCCCTCACCCTCATCTCATTATCTATATCACCAATCATCTCATTTATCCAACTCATCTTTAATCACATACCAACTATTTCATCTACCCATGTTTTACCCAACATTTTTGTAGATATAAAATACATATACATCATTTAAAACCTGTATAAATCATTCATTCAACATCCATCCCAAATAAACAAACAATATATATTCACATAGCACGTATTTTATATAAAATACTTTATATCTATGTGTAAGATGAAAGTGACTGTACACTCACATAATTTGACGATAATTGGGCAGGACTTCGTCCCTTAAAACGATCGTTTCCGATAAAACCGAGATGTTTTCTCAAAAACCGGGTTTCACGCGGGCAGAGTTTCAACTTGAAAAATTTATTTTCTCGGTAACTTCGGGACTTCAAGACTTACTTCGGGTATTAGGGAGGTTCCCTAAGCTTCGGGGTGAAAGAGTGGCTAGAGAGGGTATTGAGAGTGAAAAAGTATGAGATTTAGCAACCATTTCTAGAGGGCTTCGCTTGTTATTTATAGTAGGAGCCTGGCCCTTGGTAAGCTGGGCGTAATCTTTCGGTACGTGGGGCGTACTGGCTTCTGATGCTCTACGTTGGGCGTAAGTTCGGTACGCTGGTCGTACGAGACATGGCATGGATTCGTTTTCCGGGCCTCAGACGTGTCGATGGGGTGAGATACGTGCCTCCATCCGAAGAAAGAGGTCGATGTGGCCAACTTCTGACCTAGTCTGAGTACGCGAGGCGTACACTCGTACGTTGGGCGTACGGCTTCGGATAAACCTCGACTTTTATATTTAAAACTTCAAAAATCCATATATTTTGCATATGGGCTCCGTTTTTGACGTTCTTTATATCCACGCGTAGGTGAGATATACTCTACAACTTTTTTTAGACTCCGTCAGCTAATTTTGACTTTATTTTTAAAGTTATATTTTTAACAAGCCGGGACAGGAAAACTTCGTTAAAAATTCATAACTTCTTCATCCGACGTCCGTTTCTGTCTGTCTTTTTACCGTTGAACTATTATCGACGGGATCTTCGATTCTCGTTTAGGTTGTGTCAGCTAAAAATAGCTCGATCTATAATTCGAGTTCCGGGCTGCATACTATTATGCCGAAACTTAGAAAAATCATAACTTCCTCATACGAAGTCAGATTTGGGCGTTCGTTCTATGCACACTCTTAGTTTAACAAACACTACGAATTTCTTCATAGATATCGACTTTATCTAATATTTATTTTCGACGCTTATTTTTATCCTTAATTTATTAAATCATAATAATTAAGTTTAAAGCACATAATTCATTCTTAATACTTCAATACGAATTACAATGGTTGACCTAGACTATTACTTCATCATTAATGCCAATCCTAGAAACACGAGCGTTACATTGTGTGCTTAACCGAAATGTCAATTTGAGAGTATAAGTAGAGAATGATGTGAAGCTCGCAGATCTCAAGCGTAACTTGATCTAGGGACCACACAATTTTGTATGGACGATTCACCATATGTTCAATGATCCACGGCGACCCCGTCATTAAATTTGAGATGAATATATCTGAGATTAACATGCCATTGATAGTCAATGAATCTCAATGATCTAAGAATTTCATGGTGATCGAAATTGGCAAAGGGCTTTGCCTACCTAAATAACTTTATGGTGTGTTTATGGCATCCCTTTACACATCATGAAGCCAAATAATTTTATGGTGTGTTTTCTGCAACGTGTAGTTTAGGTTTTGTACATGATTTTAGACTATAATTTTGTCATTTTTGGTTTAATATTCAATGACTTACAGTCCCTTGAAGCTGGGATATCAAAGTTGAAATTTTTCAAAGTTCAACCAATAACTAATTACCAAAAAAAATTCCGGATATCTCGGGTTTTCTGGTTCTAGACCCACTTTACCTGGTTCCACCCAACCCACATTAATGCTTCTGGGTTTTCCGGTTCTAGACCCACTTTACCCGGAACCAAACCAAAACTGGTTCCTATATACCGCTCCTGTTTCTGGTCCTATAAAATCCCATTAACCGGTTCCCGTGGTTTCCGGGTCTAGGTTTACAGGTCCGGGTTTGGACCCACTCTCATCCCTAATGATCATCATCTGAAACGCTTCGTGGAGTAACGAAACTTTGCTATTATTCTCCCCTCTTCATTTCTTTATTTTCTATCTTTTTTTTAAATGTCGAGTGGTTCAGACCGTAACGCATATTCCAAAACATATTTTGTTGATCGGGGCTTGTGGTATGCGAGCATCAAGTGGCTAATTTTTATATTGTAACATTGGGCCATTTTCATGTTGAGATAACCCAATAAAACGACTAACTTACTAGGAGCCCAAAGTTAAATAGTTGCAACCCATAAATAGAAACCAAAAAAATAATGGCAACTCATATTCAATTCATGAGCGCATTTCTTCAATTTTCGACCCAAAATGCTAATTTTCTTTTCTCTTTCTTTATTGTATATGCGTGTATGAGTTGGGATATGCACTAAGGGGACCCACAACTATTTTGAATCAAAAGTCTCCAGCCATTCCTTATTGTCACGATCTGAAGGAGATTCCATAGGAGAAAACGTCGGTTGTTGGAAATGGTGATTCCATTGTGAGGGTTGGCGATCAATACTAGTGGTGGCAACGATGCAGAAGTCGTTGATGTTGAGGTTATTGTGGTCGACAGGCGGTTCCGGCAAAGTAGCAGGCGGATGCCTCTGGAAGTGCTTCGACATACTATGTTGGCTAGAGACGAATGGTAATGGCGATGCATTTGTTGTTGTTGGTAGTGGTCGACGAGTGGTGTTGGAGCAATAGGCAATGACAGGTTGTTCTTTGGTTTCAAATGTTGGTGATAAATCGAGAAGACGAGCGCCGACGGTCGCTGCTAGCGAATGACGGTTGCAAGTGGACTCCTTTGCTGGAGTTGGAGGCGGCTGTCGTTGGTCAGGCTCCAGTCGGAGATCGTCGAACATAAAGTAGATAGGAGTGGCACTTTCCTTGCTGTCGGAGCTTCTGTGGTTGAGGTCGACGGCTCGTCCGGTGGAGGGAGGAACAACAGTTGACGACCAGCTAGGAGGGATGGTCGACTAGAGACAGTGCCACTCTCATGGCCAGAAGCACGTTTGATGCTAGCGGGATCTGGTCTGGTGAAGGTCGACTTTTGGAAGGACAGATGTGTTGGATTAGTGTCTAAGACCATAACTATTTTGGTATGTACTTGCCCCGATGGTGCATGGTCCTTTTGGGTTGCCTTCATCAAAGCAACTTGATAGGATGAATTATGGAGAGAGAGAGAGAGAGAGGATTAATTATGATTTATTAATATATTATAAGAATAATATATTAAAGGAGAAATCATATTGTTTAATTAATATTAGTCAATAATTAATTAAGAATTAATTTTGTGGCTAAAAGAGATTAATTAAACTTAGGGGACTAGAACTATTAATTGTGTGATAGTTGAATATTGGGCTAATGGACTCCATATTACAGGAGTGGACGAATTCTATGGGGAAACCCATTAGAAATCGTCCAAGGCCTCTAAAGGAGGAGTCCATGGGCTGCATAGGGCCTTAGCAGTCAAATTAGGGTTTACTTGTTAGATAACCCTAATAGCCTCCCTATTTAAGGACCCCTAGGGCACCAAAAACATGGCTAAGAGTTTCCTTAGGGTTTCTAGACGTTTTTTGAGTGCCTCTCCTCTTCTCCTTCTTCATCCTCTTGCTCTTGGTGTTTGTGAGCCATTACAGGAGTGACATTTGTGACTGTAAGCTTTTAGAAGCCAATTACAAGAAGGAATTGAGATTGTTATTGCTACATAACAATCAAGGTAAGATCTAAACCCTAATTCATATGTTATTTGATTATTACATGCTAGATCTAGGGTTTATGGCTTTGTATGATTATTGCATGTTCATTAGACAAACTATATCTAAAGCTTTAGGGTTTGCATGTACACCATAGGAATGATGTAGTGCTCATAACCCATCAGTGGTATCAGAGCCTAGGGCTATTTGTTGATGAATTGATGCATATTTGATCGTTTATTGCTTGAAAAAACAAATTTTTTTTGGGTTCCGACTACAAGATTCGCCGAGTTACATGGTGAACTCACCGAATCGACTGAAATCGACTAGTCCAGGCCAGACTCGACGAGTCAAGTGGTCTGGCAGCATTTTTTTTGCGATTTACTTGCTGTTTTGGCTTTGGATACTTACCATAAACGTTTTTAATTAGTAAAATCCGATTTTTATTGATTTTGGGTGAATATCCTTGCCAAAATAGTAGATAATTGCCATTTAATCAAATAATTGTTGCCAAATAAGATAATGTTTAATGATTTAAGTTATTTGGTGAATTATATTGCAAGTAATTGGACTAGGTCAAAATTAGATAACCACAAATTAATTGTTAATTGCCTTATTTGAATTTTTTGATCTAGAATGTTCTTGATAAAGTTTGGAAAAGTTTCAATTTACACCCCTTAGGTTTTACAGTTTAAATTTGAAGTTTAAAAGTTTTTGTTTTGAAATTTAAATAGTTGAACCCTAATATTTTGAAAGGTTTCAAAACTTGCCCTCAAGTTTTGGAATTTAAAATTTTGATTAAAAGTTTAATGTTTGAAATTTTAAATTCTAAAACCCTAGTTTTGAAAAAGTTCAAATTACACCCTTATGGTTTTATTAAGTTAATTAAAAGTGTAACTAAAAGAGAGTTAATAAATCCATAATGATGTGGTTTATATTTAATTTAATTAAAAGTGTAATTTATTAAATTAACCCACCTAGTATTTTAAAAGTGTAAAATACACCCTATACTATATATAACACTAAAAGTATAATATTATATATGTATAACTTAAACTGTTAGTCTTACCGTTAGTAGGCCTCATTCACGAAGCCGATCTATAAGGGGGGTATAAGGTTATGGCCTATAAAATGGTCGTTTAATGGGTGTCGACTCTCACCCACCGCTTCCTTGATTGGTGGAGGGTCGTTAGCCGAACGGGTAGGATAGGGCAAACCCTCTCCTCATTAAAAGTATAATGAATAAAGTAACTAAATGTTTTACAAAATTCCCAATCTTAGTTACTTTAGGAAAAGTGAAATCGATGCAATTCCATGGAATTACACTTTGTACCCTTGTCAAGACAATTAGTGGAGCGTGTGTGGTTAACCGGCACACTACGTTGGGTTTGGCATTAGTAGCGAAGGGTGACTCGATGTTTGTCATAGATCGATGAAGCGTGTGTGGTTAACCGACATGTCGATTAGGTGAATGTAACATTGAGGGCACCACATACATTCGTATGGTTATTCACACCCTGTTTTGTGATCCTCGGCATCCCAGTCACAAATCGAGGGGCATATCGAGATTTAAACATGCCATTGAAAAATTCGATGAATCTTAAAAGATCTAGGAGTTTTCAATACATTTAAAACTTAATTTCTTTTTCGTTTTTCATGGTGGAAAATTGGTAAATCGTAATTTACCTACCTTCAAATGTTCTGCGAGTTGGATTACGGCATTCCTTTTCCAATTTGTAGGATATTGTGTTGGGTCCTAGCCTTAATATCTCATTTGGGTGTTTTATTAAGGACTCTATCAACTAACTTGAATTTTCTCCCATTTTTATAGATGTCAAAGTCGGACAACTATGGTCTTCCTAAATCCGTTGGAAAAAGTTTTCCACATGAAGATGATGTTCCATGATTGGATTGTAGAAATAGAAATCATGCTTCTCTTCCTCCACCTCCTCCAATAATTCTCCCTGACCCACATGTTCGAAGACTTGAAAAGTTCAAGGTCACTCAAGCCCTATTGGCAAAAGACATGAAAATGGAATGTCTATTTGTGCTCATGTCTTGGACAAAAGGTTACATATTGATAGATTGAGATTGTTAGGTGTCGATGTTTAAAGGAATTTGGCTGTTGACTTGGTTCTTTAGTCACTTCCCGAATCATATGGTAAGTTCGTTAGAGAGTACTATATGATGGACCATGACATGACCCTTATTGATTTGACTTATTTGCTTATTGCTGCTGAATCAGAAATGATTTGGCGCACCAGTCAACAAATCTGTCTGGTAAATCAATATCCCAACCCTCTATGGACAAATGTAACAATGGAAGTGCAGAAAAGTTTTCTCTACGCAAGAGAAAGGCTGAGTCTGAGATAGTCCAGTGTGCCATTCCAGAGAGTCCATATGTTTCTACTGCAAAAAGAAGGGGCATTGGTTACAAAGTTGCCCTGACTACCTGAGAGATCTAAGAGATGGGAGAGTCAAAATGTATGACTCTGCTTCAGGTAAAATCCACTATCTAACTCTATTAAGTTCATATTTGGAGATTCTTAATACATGATGTGATAAGATTACATTTCGATGTTTTGAAGGATCAAAGAAAGGAAAGGAAGCTTAAAGGAAGGAGCAAGCTGAGTCTGATCGCGAAGAAATGGATTTTGATCGCATGATTCAAGGATCAGATATTAAAGCTACTACTTTAGAGTTAGGATAGATTGCTAAGTAATATTTACATAGTTTTCATTTGTAATCGCGTTGTAAGGACACTATTTTTCCGCAATAAAATAAAATTTTGATTTATCTTATTTATGTTTCCTTGCGATTGATTTTATGAAAATTGGTGTTTGAATGGTTCTATTGTTAGCAATATTATGAATGGATTTGATTCGTAGTTATGTTATTTGTGGTAATGTCAGAAATTTACCAAATGAGGAAGATTCTCATCGCCCAAGTTTCAATTGGACAGAAACTTGGAATCATGCAACTGGTATTGTATGACGAATGAGAACCTTCGTATTTGGAAAATTGAGACTAATTCCTTGTTCACATAAGTATGTGAGTCAAGTGAAGGATAATGAGATCTGGTACACAATATTGTGCACTAGTCAATTCCACCACAAAGAACGATAAAATGTTTGTTATGATTTGCTAAAAGATTATTAAATATGATTATACTTAAAAGATTAAGTATAATTCTGAATCATCGAAAAGTTTCAATGAATGGCAGAACGAATAAGAAGAATCAATTAGGCAAGAAAGATAAAAGTTTCTCCAATCTAAGAAGAAGGGAGAGTACTTTTGTATCATGTTTATGATCATCTTAAGAACCATATTACAATTCATCCTCTAAGGACACCTTAGTGCACTAGTATGGCTAAGAAGAGGAGTCGAGAATTGTCAAAATGGTTAAGTCAATAAGATGAATAGTACTTCGTACCAAAATCAATTCTTAGAGTCATACTCCAAGATTGTTAATTGGGTGACATAATATTTAGTAGAAATGTTCTTACATTTGCACATTTTGGTAAGTTGTGATGTAGTGAATAAGACAAAGACCAACTAGTACCAAATTGTGTGTAGGTTTGTCTTGATAAAGACACACACTAACTCTTGAGTATTTGTTTGTCAAGAAATGCTTCTTGACAAGAGAATCTTATATGCCAAGAGGTTAGTGGGAGTCTAAAGATCTTGAAAAGTTTCAAGAACAAATCAAGAAGTAAACCTATTAAACACTAGCACACGACTTAAGGATTGTAACCTATCGTGTTGACAAAAATTTATTTCTATGCCAATCCAGTTGAGTGATTATGCATATGAGTTCTATGAGTTCTCAATTGGATGCATAAGGGCAAACACCTAAATCAATGAAAGTACACTGACTGGCATAGGTGAGCTGCTAAATAACTTGGAAGCAATGGTGGGACCCTTGATGGCAAGAAATTAAGAATGAACTAGTTCTATCCATAAGAGGTTGAATTTGTCACAAACATTATCTTACGATTATGCTTATGGCAAATTTGAATGGATAGGAACACATGCACCATAAAATCTAAGTGTCATAAGGTTTCTCTCCTTCATGAAAATGATTGTGTGGAAACGCTTTCATTAAGAGAGATTTTAAGGAGATAGAAATTATGTAAATTGCATTCTCAAATTCGATTATGATTACG